TTATGTCATATAAATATGGTACAAAAATATATCCTAAGATGGTGGCTAATGTTCATGTAATTTGACTCTTAAAAAGTGAAATATAACAACTATTTATATATTTAAAATAAATTATTGTCACCTAACATATCATAAAAAGCTTATGCTCACACTTCCTATGAAATAACATTCATAACTAAGCATATTAAACATAAATAAAATTTAAATTATACATAAAAAAAATCTTATAAATAAAAAATTAAAAATGCAAATAAATTATAAATTTAAAGTGCAAGAAAGTTATTATCAATAATTGATAGTATATCTTATTTGGTATCTGTGGCATTTATTATTTTAATTTAGATTTTACTAGTTATATTTTAACATAATTATATATTTGTAAATAAATATCATTTAATAACTTACTATAGAGAAATTATATAATTTTAATGCTTGCAAAAAAATAAATATAAATTGGATATACAAGTGAAATTCATTTTATTTTTTATTTTATATATATATATATATATATATATAAATTTGGGTTTTTTTGGTTTTTCAATTTTTATTTCTTAAAATCCGAAACCAAACCAAAAAACCAAACAAAGTAATTTATTAATCCAAAACCAATCCAAATAAATATTTGATTTGATTTGATTTGGTTATTCGGTTTAATCTGAATAGTGCACACCCCTAACTGAAACAGGCATGTCGACATCCAATTATGTGTTCATTCCCTTTTCTTTTAGCAGTATCATTTATACAAACTCAATCGAAACAAACCAACCACTACAAAATTGATAATTTTATGAAAAATAACAATTTTGAAATGACAGATTCACATTATTAGCCGTGGAATGCAAAAAAAAAAAAGTTATCTTAACTTTTTATTTTATTTATAAAGCATATTTTGTATTATTTCTATCAGCAATACTAGGTGCATTGCAGCAACCTACTTATTGAATCCAAATGTATTTAGTTATAAGTAGAAAATATTTTATCTTTTTATGTAACGATAATTTTAAAATGTATTAACATGCATTATAATTTATATGTTTTAGGGGTGGTCAAATATCTTTTTCCGGAGGTATGAGTGAATTTATCGAGGGTTCAGAGCGTGTTATGTTAAGCCACCCCTTATTGTATGGATACATCTCTATGATACTTTCATAATTTATTGTTTTCTAAATAAAAATATAAGAGGGTTTATGGAATACTTTTATATGTTTTAATGATATTTTTATTTTTATTGTATGGATACATCTCTATGATACTTTCATAATTTATTGTTTTCTAAATAAAAATATAAGAGGGTTTATGGAATACTTTTATATGTTTTAATGATATTTTTATTTTTATTGTTGATAGATAAAAACGAGTTAAGCTGAATATGAATATAGAGAAGAGAGAGAAGAAATGGAAACTTTTTACTTGTTCCCTTGAGCTTAGTCTAGAGTTATAGTAGGATAAAAACATAAGATGTTCAACATCACAAATGAATTTTTTTAATTTATATTGGTAGAAATTAATTCACGTTAATAAGATGTTAATTATATGTCTCTAATATGTTATTTTGGATATCATTACAAGAAATTATTTATTATTATGAATATTTAAATAGTTTAATTTAAAATTCTAAAATATTCTACTATAAAATGATTCTTCTTTCATTCTTTCTTTTTTATATTTTTTTTCTTTACAAATATCAATATTTTTAAAATGGAAATAATATTATAAATATAAGATGAACTACAGTTTGTTGAGGGTCTAGAATATGTTTTACTAGCCTCCCTTTGAGCTACTCTTGGATTCGAGTCCTACATTCAAGTAGTGTAAAGTGTAGCTGCATGTCAGTAAGTTGTAATTAGAGGTGTTAAGGTTAGCTCAAGAAAATATAGTCCATTTAATTTGTTTAAATTTGGGTTAGTTATTAATTTGCTTATTTATTACTTATCAATCTAAAAAAAATTGGGCTAATATGTAGCCTAAATTGATACATGAGGAATTTTATTAAAATATTTGCAAAAGATATTTTTCTTATTTGATATGTATATAGCTACAATAGAGTAAAATCTCACTAAATTAATATAGTTGGGACCATAAAATATTATTATTTTGTAAAGGTATTATTTAATCGATAAATTAATATTTATTAATTTAAAGAGTGTTTTGGGATTCAACCTTGTGATGCTAGGATAACAAGAGCTTTCAAGATGTATTATCACAACAACTTTAATTTATCGTAGGATATTAGAAAGCTTATGAAGTGAGACAAACTGATCCATGAAAAAAAAAATATTTTGGATGCTATCAATTTTGCAATGCCGACTTGGACGACAAATATAATGTTCAACAAGAGACAATAACAAATTATTTTTGACACTGTAGTAAAATTTGTTAGAAGGATGAAATCTTAGAGAATTTTAATGAACCTACTTGTGAAAACATCATTCATGAACTTAAGGTCATGATTAATGATCTCGATTACCGAAATAAAATGGACGTCAATAACTTATCGGATTACCATGTGAAAATGATACATGTTCAGAGGTCCGGAACTTAGAAGAAATTGTGGATCTCATAAAAAATAACGTTGATAATGAAGTTGAAGGTGATACAATACATTTGAAACCAGTTACACATAAGGGAGCACTTATCGGATATAGATCTCTTTACAATTTTATGGTGCAGTTCGAAAATAGAACATCGAAACTTTTGGATGCAAAAAGAAAAGTTAGAGATGAACTTCAACTAGATTTAAAGTTTAGCAAAAAAATAAAACACAATAGAATCACATTTCACTAAATTGTATTAGATATATTTGTACTTTTAAAAAATTATTAATTTATAATTTTAATGGGACCATAGGGGTCTTCTAAAAATATATTATCTTATTGAAATATGTGATTTTTTCCATTGGCCTAAGTTAAAATCAGAGAAAATATTATCTTAGAGAGATTATTAATTTACCAAGTTTTAATTTAGTGAAGTTTTACTGTAAAGAAAAAATATTATTTTTATTAGATTCAATGGGGATGTCAAATTATTTATTGACGCAATGTCACTTGACACCACTTTCTAGATAAGGCTGTTCAAAATTGAACCAAAAAAGTTTTATTGATTTATTAGTAATGGAATATTGATTTAGCCCAGATTCGATAACAATTTTGATTTTCTTTAGATATCATGTTTATTGATTCTTAACGGTTTGAATTATTTTTTGTAATGGATTAATCAATAATCCGACACTACTAGAAAATTGTAAATTACTTGGAGATTTTACTTGGGGATTATTTCTGCATAAATTTCCTAAGAATTTTCATGGGGAAATAAGAAATTCCTAAATTCTAAATTTTTTTACATGGAAAAATATTTCCCCAAAAACATTGATAGGAAATTTGGCGCCATTTTTGCAAAATTATTACCTGGGAAATTATTTGGGGAAACTGATTGCAAGTATCATTTTCACAAGTAAATTCGCAAGTAATGATAAAAAAAAAAAATTAAAATCGATTTAGTGTGAAAATCGCTAGATAAAATTATTTGCATATTTAGCTAAAAATAATTACTTGAAAATTTATCTAAAAATAATTTTATATATGATATTATCTAGGGATTTATGTTCTACGAATTTTGTTAGGAACTTATTTTTTGAGGATTTACTTGAAAATTTTCCTACTTGAAGAATTACTTGGGGATTTTATTAATGTGAATTTGGTTGAAGATTTTTAGAGGAAGTTACTTGAAAATATGACAAGAAGTTTTTTTCTTGGAATTTAAGGATTATTTTTATTTGATCTTCGAGGAATATTTTCTTAAAAATATATTTAACAAAATTAAAAATTATAAAAATATAAAAATATAAAAATGATAATGAAATTTGAATGAATTTTATTGTTAAATATTTACTCTACTTTAAGGTTAAAATCATGTGGCTAATTATTTATCCAATAGAAAAATAACTATAAAGGATGCAATTAATTTTAATTTAATATTATTTTATATTAAATCACGTATTATTTAATAAGTAAGCACTATTCTTAAGTGGAGAAAAAATGATTAACCCGATCATTGATAATTCGTTAATTATGCAGGTTTTTAAATAAGTTATACTAAATAAGTACTACTAAGCAAATATCCCAATGATTTAAATTTTGATTTTTGGTCTAATCGTCCAAAATTCTAGTAAATTCTATTATTACTAACTAAGTAATACATTTGATTATTTTATTTCTCAATCTTTTAATCCATATTAAATTTGATTTGTAATGTTAATGTTAGATTGTTAATATTATTAGTTAGAAAAAAAAACAAATATTATTATATTTAAAAAATTAAAAATATCACAAATAAAAATTATAAATTTCAAATAATGGTGATTTGACTGTGCAGAGCACATACTTCTCCTTTTCATATATATATACTAGAACATCTCCACAAAGAATCTAAAGAAATAAAAGAAAAATTAAACCAATTTAAAGACTTAACCCTTTCATGAACGATCCTTTTTACCAAGATATATATATATATTTGACTCTTTGACATTCTATCTTTTACTTTTAAAAATGAAACATGAAAAAGATTCTAAAGAAATTAAAAATAATTAAATTAAGAAAAAGTTTTGATCTTTATTTCTGCCAAAAGGAAATTATGGAGGAAATTTCTCTTGTAATTTCTAAAGTATTGCTGAGAAAGACATCATAAATTGCTGAGTACTATAGAATTGTTTTAAATTATTGTCACTTTAGAAATTCAATACAAAATTAATTATTTTTTACATTTTATCCTTAGTAGTAATTGTTTTTTAAAATTACAAACATTTCAAAAGAATATATATTTAATGACGAGAGATTATATCTTAAGAATTAAGTAAAGGTAAAAATTCCTCTTAAACAATTTCATTACTTGTTTCCCTTCATTTTCCATGAATACCCGTTTTCCATTAGTCAACGTTACCAAACAATAGAAAAACCCAATATTTATACCAAAAAAATCCATAAAATTAAACCATTCTTATTATCTCCATGAACTTTGTTGATGATAATCAATTTGTTCATCAAAAAAACAAATATAATATCATTAACAAAATCATGATCATTGCCTTAATTTCAATATGTATAGTTGTTTTTCTCGTTACTATTCTTCGTATGTACATCAGACGTCGCCAGGCTCAAGGCCGGGCGACACTCTACACTACTAGAAATACTCGAATTTCCGACTTGACAAGTGTATCGTGGGTTGATCCACCCAAAAATGGTCTTGACCCGACCATCATAACTTCACTACCATTATTTCTTTATAAGAGAAATGATCATCATGATGATATTATTGAGTGTTCAATTTGTTTGAGTATTATTGAAGATGGTGAATTGGTTAGGGTTTTGCCTAATTGTAAGCACAATTTTCATGTTGAGTGTATTGACAAATGGTTCAATTATCACTCAACGTGCCCCGTATGTCGCACCGAGGCGGAACTGCGACTATTGCCCGAGCCTAGAGAGGGGGTTGTTAGTCCTATGCCACCTTGAGAGTGGCGAATCAAGAATTTAGACGATGCGAGAGATGATCTTCACAAAACGTATTTCTAAATCTATTTATACACGAGTTTTTGCCATATCGATATGTGCAGACACATGTATATAAAAAGAGTTCGAATTTAAACCCATGGTTGAATCCGCCACGTATGATTGCCATTTTTTTTTTCTTCGATAGTACAAATTTTATAATACAATTTTGCTTGTACATATATTCCATACTACGTTAGACATATAGATAAACTATTTTTCTAGCCATAGCTAGCAGCTTTTATATTAAGGGTTGAGAAATCTCACATTGAGAGGATAAGGCTCCCTAACAAAGATTATTTATACTCAGAGCTCGAACCCAAAAATTTTAATTAAGGAGGAAGGAATACTTATAATCTATCATAACCTTGATTGGTTAACATACCAAGTGTAATCCCACAAGTGGGGGCATGAGAAGGGTAGAGAATACGCTGATTGGTTAACATACCAAGTGTAATTCCACAAGTGGGGGCATGAGAAGGGTAGAGAATACGTAGACCTTACCCCTACCTCGTAGAGATAGAGAGGTTGTTTCTAATAGACCCTCGACCTAAATAAAGCATTTCCAAACAATTGAAAAAGGGAAGACAAATATGAGAGCAATAACAACAACGAAATAATGTGAAATAGAGAGTAATGTTGAAATAATAACCCCAAGTCAAAATAGTAAAATCCAGAACTATATGCTAAGTATTAAATTAGTAATCCTAAAACAGATAGTTTAAATCGATTCACTAAGCTAGTTAAAAGCCTTATTACGCAATTCCACCAACGTGTAATGCATCCACATTCTCAATATCAAACGCTTTTGGCAAGCTAGAGCAAGAGTACTTCTATGTGGGAACCCCCAGTAAAGGAGACTTGTCTAGTCAAATAGGCTTCTAAGAGATGAAAAAAATCTTAGGAACACACCATGTGGAATCAAAGTATGGGAAAAAATATAACAACCCGCAGCCCAAAAGTTCTACTAAATAGCATGAAATAGAACAGATAGAAGCAACATAACTACAATGGCAATCTCTTATAACACAAATTCCTTTTTGTTCATCCTTGTTCTTTTACTCCTTGTACCTATCAATCATACCTTAAACTCAGATGATTTGGTTTCTGAACTAACTGTCCTTCGTTCTCGATCTTCTACTGGTGTCATTCACCTTTCAAACAGACTACTCTGGCAAATTTTATCGGTACCTGTCCCTAGGCCATTCACTCTCCTTGTATTCTTTGATTCCCAGAAGCTACATTCAGATTCAGAGATTTCACTCCCCAAACTCAAAAACGAGTTCTTGGTTCTCTCGTCTTCTTTTCACACAAACAATCCAGATAACAAGAAGTTCTTCTTCTTTGACATTGAGTTTCAAGAATCACAAGCTTCTTTTGCTCTATTTGGTGTCAAGTCTCTCCCCCATATATGTTTAGTTCCCCCTTTTGCCATTGATTTCGAAAGGGATTCGATTCAGATGGAGTCCTCTGATATCTGGAGGCATGCTGAATCGATGGCAGAGTTCGTGGAGGCCAAAAGTGAACACACTGTTGGTACAATTCATCGACCAGGTTTTATTTCCAAGAAGCAGAGGATGTGTATCATAGCTCTGGGGCTAATCTTGAGTCCATTTCTAGTGAAAAAGATTGTATCTGGGAACAGCCTTTTGCATGATAAGAACATATGGATGGCAGGGTCGATTTTCGTGTACTTCTTCAGTGTTTCAGGGACAATGTACAACATAATCAACAAGATACCTATAGCTATGATGGATAGAGATGATCCAGGAAAGCTGATTTTCTTCTACGACGGATCTGGGATGCAGTTGGGTGCTGAGGGGTTTACAGTTGGGTTCTTGTACACGATTTTCGGGTTGATGTTGGCCTTTGTCACTCATGTTCTTATCCATGTGAAGAACAGGAATATCCAGAGGTTTGTGATGCTTTTGGCAATCTTTGTTTCATTTTGGGCTGTAAAGAAGGTATTTTACCTTTATAACTGGAAGACTGGGCTTGGTCCTATTTATGGGTGAACTGTTTGGCTGATGCACAATATGTAAGAGAACTATATCAGTTTATACTAGTTGTTACATGTTAGTCGACTCAATTCCAACAAACTGGTCATAAGTTAAAAAGATAATGATCAAAACACACATGAAGTATCACTTTTTTGAGATGTGTTTTGATAAATAGTTGGTGATAATTCAAGACTTCAGGTAGGAAACGCAAGCACATGATAGTTCAGGTATGAAACTTGCAAAAAAGTAATACTTCAGGTGTGTTCTAAACCATTATCTTTGAGTTAAATCACAGTACATAAAAACATGCCTATATAGATAATCATCTACAAAAATTGCATACCCGCGGGTATAGTCTCCCTGCATTTGTTCAAGTAATGTCTCCTCTTCAAATCCACATATAAACCTTAAAAACACAATATACAATTTCCGATTGTATGATGCCATAGATAAAGTGTGAGATGGACTAATAGCATACAAAAATGATTTTCTATACATGCTCAATGCAATGAGCTTAAAAGGCGAAAAGATGTGCTGCAGTATCCAACTTACTTGTCAATTTGATCAACCGAGATAGTCAAAATTTCAAAGGAACACTTGATAATATGATACTTCGAGGACTGGTGCAGGACTTAATAGTTGTCACAATCCCGTCTCCAGATAGATGTATGTAAGATTCATTATAAAGAAGAACGTCAACAATCAGCAAGTGGGACCTTCAGAAACATTCTGGAGCACAACTGCACTCCGAAGTTAGATTCAATAATCATGTTTGGGAGACGATGAAAGACAGAGGAACAATAATCCTTGGATCAATTCTCAACGCGAATGTCTTCTTTTAGACCTGGATCGGCGATATAATTTTCGGGAAACCAGAAAAATAATGATAAAGGCGACCTGTACAAGTACCAGTATCTTCAGACCTGCAGTGACCATTTAATAGTTGCCACATCAGATGGCTCACAGTTCATGTCAGAGGTTTAAGAATAAAAGAGGAGAATAGAATTACCTTTAAGTCTCTGAGCCGAGTCAGCCATATTCACCTCATTAGCATTTCTTCCACCAATCCGATCGAGATGTTTTCTTCTTGAGCGATACCTTCTTGTTTGATAAGAAAAATCCCCACCCATTACGCAGGTATTGGGGCAATTGACATTACTATCATACTCATCACTTCCATCACAACAGTCTGAAAATATCTTAAATCAGCAAGCAAGACCCAAACCACAGGGTAGAGTGGTAGATACAGATTAACAAATCAACAACTGCTATGCCCAAAAAGGAAACAACTGTATAAAATATAGAACATGAAAGGAGCAAAGAAACATATTCTAAAGCATTTAAGTCCTTAGTTACAAACTCAGTCATAAGGCCGTCACGGTGATTAAAAGATTCTCTAGGAGACTCTGCCTCAAGCGAATGAACGAGGCTTAAGTAATAATTTAGGACTAAGGAAATAATTCTTCAAACATATCCACATTGGATGTGTTGGTTCTTTCTTCAATGAAGTGCAAATGGCAAATGCCACTTGCAAACATATGCATGTCAGGACCATCAATAACTTATCCTTAAAAACAGCAGATGATTTTTCATGAAGCAACAACAAATCCATGATACACAAATCCTTCACTTGCCTTGACGTATTCACATTGAACAGGTGTGATAAGGGTGTGGGTGTTTCGAGCAGATTATTCAAATACACGTGAAATAAGCAAAACAAACTTAACTTACCCATCCCTGTCCCCTGATACGTGCATATATCCCAATTCAATACATACACATAAACGACTCATGTATCATAGCAACAAACAAGCCTCAGATAAGAGGACAAACTTTTAAATAACACATGAATGGAAGCAAAATTAATTGTATAAAATTGTTCTTAAGAAAAAACATACTATAACTTAACCAGGAGTGCTTACCACAAATATCATCGTTCACACGAGAAGAGAACAGAAATTTAGGCGTACTGCCCACATTCCTGCAATAAAATTTTCCAGATGGACAGGCAGCCGTTCCTATCAAAGGAGAGAATGATTTAATCGACAAGAGAACTCAAACAAAATATATGCCAATGTTTTATAGCTTTCAAAACTGTGGAACCATCAAAAGTGATGGGGAAGAGCAACAGAAAGTATACAAACTAAAGAGAAAAGGATGAATGATGTGAAACACAAAACTTTACTAGTAGAGCATCCAACTGTTACTTTCACGCCCATCATATCTAATGGAACTAGTCTAAGCTAACATTTTGGAGTTACTACTGGAGCTCTCTTCTGAAAATCCATGCAAAACTATCATATATTTTATCTGCTTAGATATATATTAAGATTCATCGACAAACAAATTTAGGCTAGTGTATATAAGAAATGGCATATGTTAACTATCCCTTTTCCAGGTTGAGGTTACCTGTGTTGGTATTTTTGGTAGACAACGTCAACTCTCCTATGTTGGGAATTGAGATTACCCGTTCTAGAAATGACATTCTAAGATTACTAGAACATGGTGCACCACTATTTAGTGGGAATTGATCCCTAGTTCTCTATATAAATAACTCAACTTCCAAGCAAGTGCACCATTTAGACTTTTTATAGCATGGGTGCCAGAAGTTAGTTAGTCACTTGAGCGTTGTCTTGCTTATTACTCTTTATTATTAGTTGTACTTCTTGTAGTTTCTTTATCCTTTGAGTTTGGTTATTATTCGTGATTTTTAAAAATAAAATAAAATTACACTAAGATTATCATTGTAGCTTGTTATAACCATTGTGGCATAATACATAAATGTGTTCTTTAACTTGGCCTCATCTGTCATCTATGTCGTATGCACAAGTAGACATTTAAACTTGGATAGAGTTGAACAAGTAGACACACACGTCCTACGTGACAATTCACGTCCTATGTGTATTGTGACATGTAGGACGCATGTGTCTACTTGTTCAACTCTATACAAGTTTAAGTATCTAGTTGTGCACACCCATAGTTGGAGTGTATAGATGTTAGCTGATGTCAAGTTAAATGACATATTTATGTATTATACCAACTATTATTTAGGATGATTTTTCATGTTGTCTATATTATTTCGCATGATTGTCTTCATTTACATTATATCTCCCTTTACTACTTTGAACTATTTTTTCTTAGATGGAAATAGTCTATGTACCTCTAATGTAGTGGTAAGGTTTGTGCACATTTTACCCTCCCTGACCCTACATTACACTGGGTATATTGTTAGTGTTGGTGTAGCATGGGTGCCAACATATAATTATATTAAATTAAGAAAATATACACAGACCAATGATTCATGTTCCCCAATTTTAGGCTACAAATTTGCGCATGATCAGAGGTACCTATGATTAACTAGAACACATATTTACATAAATATGCCTTTAACTTTGACTTCAGCTTGTTTCTATGTCCTCCAACTTTGAATTTGCACAACTAGACACTTAAACATGTATAATATTAAACAAATAGACATACATATCCTATGTGATATCCTACGTGGCATCCTATTATGCTACATATGACACTTGTGTCTACTTATTCAATTAAATACACATTTAAGTGTCTAATTGTGCACCTTCAAAGTTAGAGGGCGTAAATATTAGTTGAGGCCAAGTTAAAAAAACATATTTATTTATGTACTGTGCCTAATTAGAATGCATTGATCTTCTAATTGAAACATGAATATAAGGAAAAGGCATTGCTTACCGGGCTCGTCAGTTCCATCAATACAATCGCAAAAATCGTCGTTAAGCCGATCTATGGTAAAGGATTTAGATCCATCTTTGCATTTAATCACATCCGAAGCATAGTATTTCTCATCTGCAAAATCATCAGTTGTTAAAAAAAATTAAAGAAATTTATTAAAAATTTATACAGAGATTTACGCAGTGTGAGAAAAACCTAGAGGATGGATTCCGATGGGAAAATCAGTAGAGGAATTGGAGACATGAAAGAAGAAGAAGCTGAGGAGGAGGAGGAGACTTGTTAGCTGAGTGAGAGTCGTCGTCTCCATTGATGGACTGACGTCTGACTGTTTGTGTTTAATTTTAGAATTTTAGTGAGTTTGTGGCTTTTTTGAAAATCCCCCACCCCACCCCCACCACAGTTGTTTTTGGGAAAAGAATTAAAATTGGGAAAATTACGTCATTAAGTAAACTTATATTATTTAATTAGTTATAATTTGCTATAACTATCTCTCGCGACAAACATTAACTACTAATTATTTGGGTTGACTTCGAGTTTGTACGATTAGTCACGTTTGTATAATTCGCTACATTTGTATAATTTGCAACTAATAATTCTTCGTTTGATTTGTATTTGTATATGACGATGATTTCCTTCGATTTTTCAGTTTTATCACTATATACATTCAATCTTTTTGTGTATAATTTTTTAAAGTTTGTATAAACGTGTAGTTTTCTAATTTTGTATAATATAATTTATATATTGCAATTTGTATAATTGTTTAAAGTTCATATGTTTATATTTGTATCAATTCATTATTTTGATCTTTATCATAATTGTATAATTTCAGACTTTATATTACTCAAAAATTATACAAAAGCACACGAATTATACAAACGAGATGCAAACTATACAAATTATTGCCCTATCTCGCTCGCCTCTCTCCTCCCTCTCCCAATCTCGCTTGCTAGATATACAAATACATATGTATACCAATTAAATATATACAATTATCTAACCGATATACATATACAATTCACCTCTCTACCCTTTCTCACTCGTCTCTCTCCTCCCTCTCCCAGTCTCGCTCGTCACTCTCCTCCCTATAACATGTAGTTACGAATCATAATTAGCAAACTATAGAAATTAAGCTATATATGAGTGACTATATGCGAAAGTTTCCCTTAAAAATATTCTTGCGAAATTGATTAAACACATAATACATAAATATCCCTTAATTGGCTTTAACAAACAAATATATCATCCAACTTTGAGTATGCATAAGTAGACACTTGAACTTATATAAAATTGAACAAATAAGCACGCATATCCTACATGACATAATACATGTATGACGCCAAATTGCCATATAGGATGAATGTTTTCATTTCTTCAATTTTATACAAGTTTAAGTATCTACTTATGCACACCCAAAGCTAAAGGTCATAGTTGTCCTTACGCTAAGTTAAGGGTCATGTTTACGTATTATATCTTGATTAAAAGTGTTTTTAATTTGTCGTTAATAGTTTGGTTTAAGAATAAGCTATTAATAGTATAAATATTTTTAGATCAAACTATTGATAACAGATAAATTTTTAGACTAATTCAATTTCACATAATTCAAGATATTCTTCACCCTTTTCAAAGTTATTTTAATTCGACACGACATAACTTTATAATCGATAAAATTATCAATTTCATTGTTTGTTTATTCACGGTCAATATTATGATTTTTTTTCCAACAATTTGAGAGTGATTTTGCATAAAATATTAGTCAATAACAAATTATTACTACTAGTTGCATCCTAATAATTTAATCTTACTCTCTCAATTTTAATTTGTTTGTTCAATTTGACTTAACATAAAGTTGAAAAGATTTTTTTTTTGAATTTTATGATATTAAATTAAAGATTTTTCAAATATATCAAATTCTTTTTAATCTTGTGATCTTAAACATGTTAGATAAAAAATGAAATTAAAAATTATTAAAAAGAAATCTTCTTTAAATGAATCAAACCAAAATAAGAAAAACGAATTGAAACAGAAAGGGCATATTATTCTTCACGAGTCTCTTTGTTCAACTATCTGTAATCCTTGAAGAAGAAGGATGAATTTATAAGTATATATTTTAATATACTCCATCCATTTCTATTTATATGTCATCATTTTAAATTTTACATCCCTTGAGAAACTAATTAAATTTACTATTATACTCTTATTTATTATTTTCTTGAGGTTAAGTTTTCAAAAAATTATTTTGATTAATAAATTGACCAATATACATGAATTAAATCATTTAATTTTTTTATATTAGTCGAAATTTGACTTGATACTTTAATTAAGAAAATAATTATTAATATAGGTATTTTACCAAATTATTCATATTAAATGATGTTTAGTAAGTACTATTAGGTCTTGAAAATGATTTAAATAATAAGTATTTAATGTTGAGGGTAAGACATAGAACAAAATAATTGTCATTTAAAAGTGACAAGTAAATGAAAATCTATTTTAGAAATATATTGACAAGTAAAAGTGAACGGAGAGAGTAACTCTCAAAGCCCAAAGGTAAAATAGAAAAAGTAGTGTTATTTATGTAGTACTCTCTCCGTTCACGTTTACTTGTTCTTTATTCCTAAAACAAGTTTTTCATTTTTATTTGTCAACTAGGAGACTTGGCCGCGCTTCGCACGGTTAAGAAAGATCTCTTTAGATTTACAAACTAATCTTTTACTATTTCAAAAAAGTAAAAATATTTTAAAATAATTATATAGTCTCCAAATTCAAATAAATTAGATTTTAATTTAATTTTTTGCTTAATTAAAAAAAATCATATCTTAAAAAGAAAAGTATTTTGCACATAATCATGATATAGTTATAATGATGTTCAATAGTTTCATTAAATTTCTACGATAGTACATTTTATAATTTTGAAAAAGTTGTATAAATATTTATTCGTTACAAATGTTTAGAGGTTTTGCCTATTTCAAGTTCTTACATAATTCAAATAAATTCTTATATTTAACTTCTTCTTTTTTTTAAAAAAAAAAGTGATAATATTTACAATATAAATATAAACGCTAAAAATTTACAGTTTAACAGAAAATATGCATACTTTTTTTATTTGTAAGTAAACTAAAGTACACATATTTGTTAGCCTCCTATGAAAGCTTAACAATAATATTTGAGACTTTATTCTTACAATAAGATGTACGAGCAGAAATGAAAAAAAAATTAATCAAAAATAAATCAAAACTAATTGATGGCAGAAAATTAATTAAAAAATTACAGTTTATATATTACATCGTTAGTTAATTAAAATTTAAAAACACTTCTTGAAATTCAAATAATTTGCATATTATTCGGAGATCTGCAAGAACAAAAAGAAAAAGAATGAAGAATTTGAAGTTTAGCTAATAAGATAATATATGTTGAATTTTCTGAAGATACAACAATAATATGTTATGTTGAATTTTGTGGATATATAACAATGATTTAAGAAGACTCTTAACAGTAGAAGACAACTTATGATCGCCACATATTCATTTTTTTAGCACCATCCAGGAACTAATTCATCATTGCATATTCTTCTAGTTTAGTATATTCGTGGTATACATAAATTTGTATGTAAGAATTCATTAAAATTATAATAAATTATGAAAGTGAACTCATGACTTAAAAATATAACAAATTAGTGCTAAATCATTAAACGTTAAATATATAATATTTAAATCATGGCTCCGGCTTAATATCATGATATATATACCACTTGCTTTCACCCCCACACGCATAAAAAAAATTGGATCTTCAAAAATACAACGTGAAAAAATATCAAAAGTTAGTACTAAAAACTTTAAATATTAAATACATAAAATTTAAATTTTGAATTCACCTATATCTCTTCATATCACACAACACTTGCTTTCACCACACAAAAACCAAAAAAAATATTACCCACGCTATTGTTTTGAATCTATATGAAAAGTATTGAAATTTTCTTCATCCTCCTTTGTAAATCATAAAGAATCATTCTAATTTTATAATTACGATAATCAATAAAACAAAGTCATAAGATAAAAGTCATTTAGTATTAGCAGATAATGAAAAGACTAAAAAACCATACAAATAAGACTAACAAAGAAAAACCTACATAAAAAGCGACCTTAATAGATTGGGAGGGATTATATAAATCACACAAGCCCCAATAAAAACTCCAATAAAAAACCCAAATCCTTTCTTTTTATTTTTGAGAATTCATTTTTCTTTACCATTAAATATTTTCTTCCACAATCCATAAAGTCCCGTGCACTTTTAGAAATCTATATATATATATATATATATAAAGGAGGATCTTCAATCAGCTGACGTGGCATGCCTCTATGATCAGAAAATCTACTTATCTATTTTTGGTTTTTTTCTCTCTATTTTTCCATGTAAATAGATTTTAATTAAGGCTGTAATAATTAATAGATTCTAATTAATTGTAAAGAGGAAGATACTTTTCCAAATTTTAATTGTAACAGTCTCATTTCCATGTAAATGCAAATTTTAATTGTATGTTGTAACCGTGTACCAACCTTTCCTCTCCCCACATCCCTTCATTAACTTCTGAAAATTAATTTATATAACTCTTCACTTTTTCATCTTCTCCTATAAATCTTGAGCTATATATATCATGGAATTTTTTATTTTTTTTTATCAATTGTCTCATGTTTGATGTGAATCATTGGCATTTATCAGGTACCTTTTTTTAATTAATATTTTTTTTTGAAATTTAAATATTAATATATTGTAGGATCTTAAGAATGATTTTTGTATCATAATTAAATTTGTAATCAAAAGGTATCTTTTTATTCATTTTTTTGTTATATAGAAATGAATGAATGTGTCAACTATTACTTTTTCATTTATATATTTTCTTTAAAATAAAAGTTTAATTGTTTTTATTTTCATTACTCCACACAACTCTTGACAATTATAACTCCTAAATTAATAGTCAATGACTGCACGTTGAACATCCTTTTTTACTGCTTATAACGTTATCTTGTATCCAATCAAGATTGGGTCTCCAAAACGTCCTTTCAAGAAAACAAAAAAGCATATTCAAACTCAGAGTATACATCAACGAAACAGAACGAAAACAATGGTGAACTACATGTAGGAAATGAAGTGGCGCTCATGTGTGAAATGATCGAGCTCAAAGAAATATGCGAGTTTGTGGTAAGTTACTAAAATTCTAGTAGTACATAAAACAATCTCATGAAGTTGGACAATCACAACCACCATAATGATGTTAAATCCAAGAAGGTTCGCTCAATGGATAACCTTAAAAATCTTCCGAACCATAAAGCATTTGATAAGCAATCTTCCTCCAACCTCTCTAACGATGATGTACTTATACGCTCATTGGTTCAGAAAGATGAAACTGAAAGAATTATAAATTTAGATTGCCATGAAGTAGTAGTTGTTCTCAACCAGGAAGTGGACAACGTAAAAGAGGGTGAAAATAAAGTGTTTGCTCACCTGAACAATAGTAATGAGTTGGACTCTAAATTTTCACTAAGTATAGGTAAGTGAACGTTTCACTAGCTTAATTCCTTTTTGTAAGTTTATTATTTTATTGTAAAGTAAGAAAGTGAAAAAAGTATTGAAAAAATTAAAATAAGTTCTTTATTATCTGTGAAGTGACCAAAATTATTATAACATTTTGATTATCCAAATGTCACCTTCATGTCTATAATAGAATTAGCTAGACAATCCAACTATACTTAACAATTTAAATTAAATATAATTTACGAATGCTCATTTTTACGTTTTAGACATTACAATTTCTATATTTTATCAAATTATTTTCATACATCTTATACAATCTATTTCAATTATCATTTCAATTATCATATAATTACCGGTTGATTTAGTCTTTTTTTAAAATTACACAAAATGATTGATTTTGTTTTTTATTTTATGTTCTAAACTCTACTTTTTAAATCTATATACATCATAATTTCCGACACATAAATACAATTATCTTCACTTTGTTATGGATGGAGTGAATGGACCATGTTCTTCTTTTTTTCTCACATACTTTTTTTAATGAGCTTTATTTATCTTTAAGCTGGTTATATGACATTAATCAATTTATGTTTAACGAAAACTGAAAAAGTACCTTTCCTTCCTTTATGTAATAGTATATTTTATTTGTTAGAAATTAGTTCAATGTGAATAATAAAATGAATTCAAATTTAAATTTTTATCTATTTAATTGAATTTGAACTAAAAACTCTTTTATATTCAAATAATATGAAAAGGTTAATTTATATTTTTGATATAATATTTTACGACCGCGCGTAGTGCGGCTGAGTTACCTAGTTAAACCATAGAACATGAACAAGGATTGTATATTTGTTATATCCATTTTGAATCTCTTGAAAATAAAGTAAATTATTATCACGAACTAAATGTCTCGTTAAATTTTCGTGATATTGCAATTTATGTACCAAGTTTTCAATCTCCAACAAAAAGGGAGCGTTGGTATTCTTATTTAATCGGGTCGGGTGATCCCGCTTGAAACTATCTACAATCCAATAATAAAAAATGGCAATTTTCAATTCGGTATCACGTTATTTAAATTTAAACTTCTTACGAAATTATTCATCTCATTATTTAGTTCAAAATAAAAAAAAAATTGAAATCACACGAACTGAATTGACGATTTAGATATGGGAGGTGGGGGTAGGGGTGTGTGGGAATGGGCTACGTAGTAGGAATGAAAATGAAGTGTATTGGATGGTGCGAAGACACAATCGATACAAAATGTCATTTGAACTTGTTTATTCTACTTCTACTTTGAAAAGTCAATTTTCTTATTTTTAAGATACTTATTATTTTAGAAAAAATATTTTTCAATTTTCTTGTCCAACAAACATGATAAATTGGAAAAAATGTTTTTTGCCATACCGAACGCATCAGAGATTAAAAACTAGTTAAAATTATTTTGTTAGAAAACTGAGAATAATTTATATACTTACATATATATTACTAAGAAAGTTAATTCCGAGTAGTTCCAAAATGAAACTTCTTCTCTCGTCCGAGTGAAGTCGTAACAAGGTAGCCGTACTGGAAGGTGCGGCTGGATCACCTCCTTTTCAGGGAGAGCTAATGCTTGTTGGGTATTTTGGTTTGACACTGCTTCACACCCCCCAAAAAAAGAAGGGAGCTACGTCTGAGTTAAACTTGGAGATGGAAGTCTTCTTTCCTTTCTCGACAATCCGTTCGACGTACAACAATGTGTTGAACTACTTCAACAAGTCTGCGAGTGAGATATCCAGCGTCTGATGTTCGTACAACAATATCCACAACTCATTTACAGGCTCCGTAGCAAGAAATGATGTATTCTGTTAAAGAGAGTCCTTCGCGTAAATTGCTTTGAATAGGTAAATCAATCATTTGTCCTTGAGGATCCGACATTAATCCTCTCATACCTACTAATTGATGTACCTGAGACGCATTTCCTCGAGCTCCCGAGAAAGACATTATATGAACTGGATTAAAAGGGTCAGTCATCCTAAAATTCGGATTCATTTCTTGGCGCAAATATTCACTTGTAGCATACCATATTTTAATGGATTGACGTAATTTTTCTACCGCGTGTACATTCCCATAATGATGGTGTTTTTCCAAAATCAAACTTTGTTGTTCAGCATCTTGAACTAGCCATCCCTTAGAAGGTATTGTTAACAGATCATCAATTCCTAATGAAATGGATGTAGCAGTAGCTTGTTGGAACCCCAGAGTTTTTACTTGATCCAGGATATGTGATGTATATGTCATTCTGAAGTGCTCTATTAATCTACTAATAAGTCGTTTCATGGCAGTTCCGTCTATCGCTTTATTGTGAAAGACCATATTGGCCCGTTCTGACATAAGTACCTCCATATTCCGCTGAGTAGGATTCGACAATAGGTTTGAGTCGGTGATTGTAAAACTTCCTTTTATCGATCTTGATTCACGTATAAATTTCGGAACTATGGACCTAGCTGAACCGGAGAGCCCCGAAGTCCCACGGTATCATAGAATTAGGTAGCATATGAATAGGCCCGAAAAACCCTTGTATAGCTTCTTCGATTTCTCGATAAAGAGCAATATGACCAACAGTGGTTCGAATGTATATAAAAAGGATTTTTTTTTTAGACTTCTTACTATTAGATAGTGTCCATAAATCTCATAAAAAGTACCTAAAGATTCATAGTGAACTTCGATGGGAGTTTCTCTTGAAGCAATAACGCGTTGATCTAGTCGCCACCGGAGCCACAAAGGACTATCTAAATTGATTCGTTTCTGCCGATAAGCCCCAATTGCATCATAGGAATTCGAAAAAAAGGGTTTTTCGTATACTTATAGTAACTATTGTCACTTCTTTTTTATTTTGATAGTTTCTGCGATTACATGGATTATATCTATTTACACAAATACCTCGATGATTTCGACTCGTTAATACATAGAGTCTAATAAGCATATCTTGCATTGGTACGGAAATGGGATCCCCAATAGCCGGAGACAAAAGATTCATATGAGAAAACATAAGTAAACGGGCCTCTACTTGAGCCTCCAAGGATAAAGGTACATGAACAGCCATTTGATCTCCATCAAAATCGGCATTGAATCCCTTGCAAACTAATGGATGTAAACAAATAGCGTGCCCCTCTACTAAAACGGGTTGGAATGCCTGTATGCCTAATCTATGCAGTGTAGGTGCTCTATTCAGCAATACAGGGTGTCCCTGCATAACTCTTGAAGGATTTCCCATACAATCGGCTCTTTTTCTCGAATTTTACTCTTAGCAACTCCTATGTTCGAAGCAAAATGTTGTCTAATTAGACCACAATTACAAATGTCTAGAAAAGTTCTATTGCTATTTACGAGGCAATCCACATCGATGTAATGAAAGTGAAGGACCCACGACAATGACAGAACGTCCTGAATAATCGATTCGTTTACCAAGCAGAGTCTCACGAAATCTTCCCTCTTTGCCTTCAATTACATCAGAAAATGACTTGTAAACTTTATTATGACCGTCCCTCATTGGTTGTCCCCGGATTCCATTATCAAGAAATGTATCCACGGCTTCTTGTACTAATTTCTCCTGACACATTACTAATTCTCCTAGCGTAGATCTACTTGTTGTTAATAGATCGGTAAGAGTATTGTTCCGATAGATAACTCTTCTATAGAGTTCATTAATATCTGAGCTCATTAGTTTACCCCCATCTATCTAAATGATCGGTCTCAACTCAGGAGGAAGAACTGGTAATAGACACAAAACCATCCATTCTAGCTCTATATTTGTTCGAATAAAATGCTTAGCTAATTCCACACGTCTAACCAAAAAGTCCTTTCTTCTTCCAACCTTTCGATCTTCCCATTCATTCCTTGTGTGCCCTTCTTCCCCCAATTCTTCCCATTCTACCAACGAATTCTCTATAATAATTCGTAAATCTAGATAGGCTAATTGTTCTCAGATAGCACCTGCGCCAGTAGAGATTTCTCGATTGCGAAATGTATCGAAACCCTGGGTAGTAAAAAAAAGTGGGATGTTGTATTTCCAAGATTGGATTTCATATTCGAATAAACCTCGTAATCGTAAGAAAGTGGGCTTTTTAGTTATGGGCCTAGCAAAAGAAAAATTGGGATAGGATTCTATAGGATCTCTCCCCCCCCCCCCTTCAAAATCGGACGTGAAAGTTTCCTTTCATCCGGCTCAAGTAGGTACACCAAATAAGGAAAGGAGTTCTCGTTTTCAAACTCTATAAAATCCCAAAATAAAAAGGTCTACTCCTTACTCAAGTTCCCAGTGAAGACAAAACAAGATTTCAGTGATTCCGTCTTCTATTAATTCTTTATTCAAATTCAATTCCAACAAATAAAATAGAAAATTCTTGAGTAGTCTACTTCCCTTTGAATGATAAATCCCTTAACTCTTAATAATTAAAGGAATACCTTGGAACCCATAAGGGATTTACTTGTCTATATATTGTTCCATTCAATCGTTTAGGTCCCGACTTCACCTCGATGGTTAGGCCACCACGCCCTTAAAGTCTATACGCGATAGATAGACTCCTGGAACCATGACATATTTGCTTACTTAAACCCACGCTATTGTTTTGAATCTATATGAAAAGTATTGAAATTTTCTTCATCCTCCTTTGTAAATCATAAAGAATCATTCTAATTTTATAATTACGATAATCAATAAAACAAAGTCATAAGATAAAAGTCATTTAGTATTAGCAGATAATGAAAAGACTAAAAAACCATACAAATAAGACTAACAAAGAAAAACCTACATAAAAAGCGACCTTAATAGATTGGGAGGGATTATATAAATCACACAAGCCCCAATAAAAACTCCAATAAAAAACCCAAATCCTTTCTTTTTATTTTTGAGAATTCATTTTTCTTTACCATTAAATATTTTCTTCCACAATCCATAAAGTCCCGTGCACTTTTAGAAATGGATCTATAAAGTGCAGTAAAAAAGGATGTTCAACGTGCAGTCATTGACTATTAATTTAGGAGTTATAATTGTCAAGAGTTGTGTGGAGTAATGAAAATAAAAACAATTAAACTTTTATTTTAAAGAAAATATATAAATGAAAAAGTAATAGTTGACACATTCATTCATTTCTATATAACAATAAAATGAATAAAAAGCTACCTTTTAATTACAAATTTAATTATGATACAAAAATCATTCTTAAGATCCTACAATATATTAATATTTAAATTTCAAAAAAAAAATATTAATTAAAAAAAGGTACCTGATAAATGCCAATGATTCACATCAAACATGAGACAATTGATAAAAATAAAATAAAAAATTCCATGATATATATAGCTCAAGATTTATAGGAGAAGATGAAAAAGTGAAGAGTTATATAAATTAATTTTCAGAAGTTAATGAAGGGATGTGGGGAGAGGAAAGGTTGGTACACGGTTACAACATACAATTAAAATTTGCATTTACATGGAAATGAGACTGTTACAATTAAAATTTGGAAAAGTATCTTCCTCTTTACAATTAATTAGAATCTATTAATTATTATAGCCTTAATTAAAATCTATTTACATGGAAAAATAGAGAGAAAAAAACCAAAAATAGATAAGTAGATTTTCTGATCATAGAGGCATGCCACGTCAGCTGATTGAAGATCCTCCTTTATATATATATATATATATACTAGTAAAGAAAGTCTGGGCGCTGCCCGGGCCCAACATTAATAAAGTTATATTGTTACTCTCTCCGTCCCATATTAGATGAGAATTTTACTAAAAATATTTTTTTCATATTATTTTAATACTTATTAAATTAGGATAGAATTAATTAATTCTTTTTCATTTTACCCCTACAATTAATATGACCATTCCTATATTGTATGTGTATTTTTTGTAACTCATTTCAATGTGCATTGATATAAACAAAGGGCAAAATGGTGAAGTCTTCCAATGTATTAATGATTTCTTAATCACCGTGTAAAGTTGGAAGTGCCCATCTAAGATGGGACGGAGGGAGTATAGTTTATGTATTGTTATAAAATTAGTAAAGATTGTTATAATATATTTTGCTCATAAGTGAGCTAATATAGAAACTTATTTGTCATTTGTCTTTTTAATTTCAATTTTAAATAGCAAATAAATGTAGCGATAAGATTGAGGGTAGAAATGAAGCATATCTTTCTAAATTTAAGTAAAAATAAACAGAGTAGAAGTAACATTAGGTTATCGATAGGACGATTCATTCGGTTATTTTTAAAAAAATTATATCATTCAATTTTTCGGCTATTTTATAATGTATAACCAAAATTAAAATTTTAAAATCATCCCAACCCTAATTTATGTGACACAAGCAGTACAAAAATTAGTTTTTTTTTTGTTGTCTTGTAGATATTTTAAGTTATTATTTATTGTAAATTATAGTACTTTTTTATTAAAGTTTTTAAAAACATATGTTACTTTTTATGTTTGAGAGTTAAACCAACTTTTTTTTATATGTCTTTTAATATTATATGTGTTTTGTCCTTTTCCATTTTCAAAAACTAATACTCTCTCCGTCCCATATTAGATGAGAATCTTACTAAAAATATTTTTTTCATATTATTTGAGCACTTATTAAATTAGGATAGAATCAATTAATTCTTTTCCATTTTACCCTTACAATTAATATGACCATTCATATATTGTATGTGTATTTTTTGTAACTCATTTCAATGTGCATTGATATAAACAAAGGGCAAAATGGTGAAGTCTTCCAATGTATTAATGATTTCTTAATCACCGTATAAAGTTGAAAGTGCCCATCTAATATGGGACGGAGGGAGTATAGTTTATGTATTGTTATAAAATTAGTAAAGATTGTTATAATATATTTTGCTCATAAGTGAGCTAATATAGAAACTTATTTGTCATTTGTCTTTTTAATTTCAATTATAAATAGCAAATAAATGTAGCGATAAGATTGAGGGTAGAAATGAAGCATATCTTTCTAAATTTAAGTAAAAATAAACAGAGTAGAAGTAACATTAGGGTTATCGATAAGATGATTCATTCAGTTATTTTAAAAAAAATTATATCATTCAATTTTTCGGCTATTTTATAATGTATAACCAAAATTAAAATTTTAAAATCATCCCAATCCTAATTTATGTGACACAAGCAGTACAAAAATTAGTCTTTTTTTTGTTGTCTTGTAGATATTTTAAGTTATTATTTATTGTAAATTATAGTACTTTTTATTAAAAATTTTAATAACATATGTTACTTTTTATGTTTGAGAGTTAAACCAACTTTTTTTTATATGTCTTTTAATTTTATATGTGTTTTGTCCTTTTTCATTTTGAAAAACCAATACTCTCTCCACTTTATTTTATATGTCATTTCTT